ATGCTTACAGACTCGGTGGAGGACCATTCCTGTGTATACTTTATTACACACCTTTATCTATTATTTATCCATAAGCAAGAACCTTTTAGATTCTTCTGACTTAGAGTAGCGTTCAGAGACCAATTCCACGGCTGATGTAGATCATGTAAACCTTTCATTATCGACGTTTTAATAGAAGACACCGTCGTTCTTATTGACAGAAACAAATACTCACCATCTGGGAGGTTTAGACTTGGCATTCTCATCAACATGGGATCGCCAGAAATTTAGTTCTGAGTTCGTGTAATGTGACGCGAAGGCAAAGTCAAGACAAGTCAGTGGGAAAAATATCGTAGCGATTCTTCTTAACTGCGCCCGTACTCACGAACGTGTAACATAATGACCTAAATGATCATTTAGGAAGGTAAGGGTAAACGGCGACAGATGCGTATCAGAAAAGTATGCCGTGGATACAATACTAAAAAAGAACATAATATGTCACAGTTTGCAGTTTTACAAAGAAGGTATGACGTATGACGACACTAAATTTATAATATTTAAATATTAGATGAAAACCTCACACATTATTTGAGAAACGATAGCACCTTGTGAGCCATGTTATTCATATTTCGCTCTGAGGTCGTTGCTTAAACGAGATTGTATAATAAATTTGAATATTTCATTGCTACGCGCTTCAACTGATCTTTTGGGTTACACATCTTACTGAGCCTGAAGGAGTTTTTGACTACAGCATCGAAACTAGCACCGATAGTATTTCTCGTGTTAAGCTGGCTCAGATAGGTGATCAGACACTAAGGATTCCGCCCCTGACTGCGCTATGGAAAATAGTCGTATTGCACTTTCCTCAACCGGGTCAACGAAGCTGCCTGAAGCTCGAAATATCAATTAACTTCTGGCAGGTCGTTTTGTAAAAAAAGGAAACTACCTCGCTCATAGTCCTACAAGAGTCGCTAAACTTTAGATAGTTAAAGGATCAAATGTGCATTTTCCTGATGGCTAGTTTAAGGAACAGTGTAGTGATCAGGTTGCAGAATGCTAATTGTAATCCAAGGTTGGCAGAGGTAGTTATGTTCTTTGATGGAAACCTTAGAACGCGAAGGATGTTTATCCTGTACACTGGGATAAACTAGACAGGAGGCCAATGTCCACTCGACGAACGAGGAATTAAGCGACTTCAACGTCGTAGCTTCACTCAAAAGCAATCAAAACACACGTGAAATTTTTTGCCAATATAGAAATGACACGCTTATATACATAGGGTAATTTATTGAGGCGTCAAGCTGCTGCAAAATAAAAATCGAAACAGTATTGAAAAATGTCAGTGAACTTTTTATAAAATCTGTTTTATAAATTTTAAATACTTTTCTGGTAAATCAAAACGCATTTAACGTCAGCAGTCTTCCTTTGCATGTGAATTTCATGTGCTGCAAAAATTGTAAACATAAGACTGGGAACAAGTGAATTTTGTGTCAAGGATCGACCCGTTGATCTGCCCCTATCGATGGACACCAGAAAAGGTGTCATCTGCCACCTTCAGCGATGTCAAGTTGTAAACTTGCACGGATCACTCAAACTACTCACTTGTTCACTTCTTCCTGCATCACAAGGAATTTGGCCGTTTGTTCACAAGTACTATTTATTTAAATGCAGAACACACCGTTAGCTTAGAGGATGACAGACGCACGGTGATTGAAAATCGCCGATGCATCGTATATCGGTTTTTATGCAAATAGAGACCAACATTCACGTTGTCTATTGATAAACGGGAAGTCGTTCGGTAATGGCATGTTATTTGTGAAACAAATTTCAATCCCGTGTCTTCTTTAATAGACTGCCTCTTAAATGATTCTGGACACGACGTCTCGGTCAGTTATGAGACGAGTCAAGACGACATGCGGTCCTAGCGCGTACGCATCGGTCACCATGTTCGCATGCTTAAGCGTGATTACGACATACCACGATGCTTTACTTTTAATTCACAGCAATTTGCCATCGATTTATAGACTGATGACAGCCAATTAGGGCGAACTGCTTGCTCAAGGCAGTTAACCTGACGTTTGCGGCCAACTTTGGTCCGTTAACGGAGACGTAATGTGTTATAATATGTTGTAATATATTCATGTAGGCCGAGCTGAGTTCCTAATCAATAGTGTTAGCGTTTTCAATTGGTTTTATGTTTTTGACTCGTGTGATGCTGGAAACCTCTCCTCTGCGACGCATGCAACTGTTTTAGCCGTTTTCCGTGGTAGCCCTCAATATGCCGGTTCTGCGCGTTGGAGTTGCTCCGGACTCATTGCTGAACCCCGAGTGTTTTGTCAATGACACTCTGCTCTGTGACCCCGGCGTCGAACTAACGCTCATTCACATGATCGCGAAACTGCTCAACGTGACGGTGGACATCGTGCACAGCGAGTACCACAAGAAAGGTCGGCTGCACTCACTGCATCATCTGCTGGAGACGGACGTGATCGACATGACCGGTAACTCGTTCATTCCCTCGCAAAGCAGGACGAAGAGCGTGGACGTCAGTCTGCCTCTGCTGCAGCATAAACAGGCGTACTTGATTCGACGTCCGGCCGCGTCCGACGTGTTCATGAACTTTAATCCGTTAGCGTCGTTTTCCAAGACCGTATGGTTGTTTCTGTTTCTCGTTTTCTCCGTCATGCCGTTGGTCGTAGGGCTGTTGCACTACGCCGGGTTCGGACAGTCGATCGCTCGGTCAGTGATGGCGGCCGTCGGGGACGTGGAACGCGCCTGTTTCATGTACTACCGACCACCGAGACGCATCATCTGGTTCTGCGGCCTGTTGTTCATGGCCGCCGTAAAGCTGGCGTACAGTACCTACATTTGGGCGGCTCTAATGTACCCGTATCCAACCAAATTGCCGTTTCGCAACATCAAAGAGCTTGCACAGCAGTTGCGCCACCATCGGTACCGATTTGCCGAATACCACGGCGCCGTCATGTTCACCGACTTTTCCTGCACCGACGACCCGGTCATCTG